ATCCCAAAGGTCCTCTACCGCGTTTGCAGAAGATTGCCACTGGATCTTAGTTTAAGCCAGTTGAATCCAGTCCACAATTTCACACCCGGCTTCTTTCTATTTTAATGTTAAATCTGTTCTCTTATCCACGTAATTATCCTTAGTTCTTCTTTTCCTTCAGACTTTCCAACCAAATCTGAGTACGTATTTCTTGTTTCCATCATTCAAAATAGGTCTACATGTCCCGCTCATCCCATCCACCATTTTTTCCTTTAAAGTGACCAACTCCATTTTTCTCTGCATTCAATGGCTGTGTTTGGTTTTGCAGTTGTGAGGTCGAAACGTCAGTTTGGAGGTTTTGGATTTGGAGGTTCAGGTTCCCAAGCTGCAGCAAACAGTTATGGAGGAGGGTACGGCGGGGGAGGCTACCCCGGTGGATTTGGTGGATCTGCTTTTGGAAGCCCTGCTGGATACCTTGGCGGTGGTGGTGGTGGATTTGGTGGAATAGGACCATACGGAGGCATGGGCCTAGGATTTAGTGGATCCAGTGCACAGAGCTCTTCAAGTGCTTTTGGAGCTGGTGGCGGCCTCTGGGGCTAAAAAATTTGTTTATATGTAAACTAGAGACTATACGTAACGTCTTCAATAATTCTTGGATTCTTTGATGCTATATGCGAGATATCTCGGTTAGAAGCACTGCCCCTCCAGGTATGGACTTATTTGTTGCATAAGATGAATGACTGAAAAATGTCCCGTCATCTTTCAACGATCTGTGGTTATTCAGAAATGTAAATTATACATACATGGAAAGTGTTAATAGGTTTATTATTATATCAGAATATTTTCATAATGTCCAAATGCAATACCGTATTTACCTGAATATGATGTACATTTTCACTAGAAGTATCTTTATGTAAATTGAGTGCACGTTATAATCACGCAAGTTGAAATCACCCCATAAATAAAATCAAATATAAGACTTCCGGATACTTATTTACTAGGCCATAGCCTGTTTAAAACATTCAATAGATGTAACAATACTGATATGTACATATTTTCCTTCGATTCACCCTTTCAATACTGGGATGTTATAGTAATATTCAGTGTTGTATTGAATTCCAGAAGAAGTAGCTAGTGTGTTAAGACTTAACTTAAATACAGGCCTAACCTATAGATTAATATTTAAGAGACTTTCAGTGAAAGTTAACCACGGAAAGTCTATTTTTCGCTAATAACAAAAAATAACATATATATATATATATATAT